CCTCGCTCAATAGCTCAATATTCCCTTTCCTTTTTTGAAGAAATTCATCTCCTGTTTTGCAATTCATCAAGATGCTGAGGCAGATTTTCCCCCCAGATCCCACAATCTCTTAACATTATTTCTTCTTACCTTCCCGAAATCCATCCCACCCCCAACCCCACCTCCACTCCTTCCTCTTTCCCCTCTGAAGACTCTTTAGTACTTTCCTTGAGTCTACAAAATCCAGCATACACACTTTGTGACCTTCACCACCCTAACTTTTGCATGAACAAGTAATGGCTAGTTGGAGCCACCTCTCAATTTAGAGAAAGGCAATGAGGGGGTAGTGGAACTCTGGGCTGATCTATGCTAGAATCCGGAGTCATATGTACAGAGGACTACAGCTGATCCCCGCAGCAACTCTTTCACACTATTTCGGCTTTGCTCTTAACTCACCTCGCTCTGTATAGCTAAAAGCTGCTCCACTGCACTCTAAACTCTAGATTAAGACTCAAGTAGCTGTTAGAGCAGTGTTTTTTTGTTAGTTTGTTTTTTGTTTGTTTTGGGTTTTTTGTTTTGTTTTGTTTTTAGAACCGTTTGGTTAACTGCAATTCCAAATCCCTGTAAGGCACAGATCACGCACACCTGCTCGTTTTCAATACAATCGTCCCTCCCCTTCCTCGCCACCACCACCCCCCATCCATCTGTCCACTCAAGTGTTCTCTCCCTGTCCCACATTCACTCACTAACAGTTAAAAAGGATCCTTGTTTCATTTGTTTTTTATTCCCGATAGATCCCCTCACAAACCACAGGGAAACTTTCCTACTGAAATTTCCAAATAACGAAGGTCCTGTGGCTCGAGCTCAGTTTCGACTTTGTTGCTTGCAGAGTCCCTCCATTCCCACCTTTAAAGGAATGGGGACAGGAGGTATCCTTAGGTGTTCCCTGCAGCGACCTGTCCTAGGCTCTTTCATTTGCCCAACAGGATTCATCTTTCATAAGTGAGGAAAGATTGAGTATAATATTACCCTTTGGTAATTTTTCTCTCTGTTCTTTACCAATTCAACTTGAAAACGTCTGGCGAAATCACCCCATTCTCACTCCCTTCTCCTCCTCAGATCCGACTCATTTTCAAATGGAAAACGCATAAACAAAACGAGTGCTCCAGCCTGCAAATAGTCTGCAGCCCAGGCTTTTCAGACATTACCAGGCAGCATGTCCCTCGGTTTTCTTTTTCCAGTGAGGTGTCTGAAAAGAACAAACTTGGTGGTAGGGGCTGAAATGGAGAAGAGAGAACCAAACCCATAGAGACAAGAAGAGGGAAGCACCTTCGTAGGCCTATTCTGCCTAAAATCTTTCCAGGAACCACCTGAGAAGGTCCTGGGCACAAGAACCTTATCTGTTTCTCCTGGAAAGGTAGCTGACTAGGATCTATTATACCTGGAAAATTTCAGATAGTGGGCTTCTCTTCCAAGGCCTCCGGGGTGGGGCTGGGAAGGGGTGCATTACAGGTGAAACCCCAGGGGTCTGAGTTTGGTGGCAGATTTATTGAGTTTTTATAGAGTCTCTAGTCAGCAGCGTTTTGGGGGAGGGGAAGCCAAAGGAGTCACCCAGATTCAAGGAGCTATTCGTTTTAACTCAATTCTACAGCGGCTGTTCAAACTCTCTAGGGGTATTGTCTATAGTTAAACTTGTTTCTATGCGCGTCTTCCCTCTTCTCCTCACTATTGCCGACCTCTTCCTGGGTGAAGGCCAGTAGGTTTTGAGAAGACAGGATTAAGTAGGGTGGGGTGAGAAGGCTTCTTGCTACCCTCTCCTTTGCCCCTTTCATACTCCTCTTCCTTCCAACTTGGAATTTTCCAATACGTAAATATTCACATTGAGAACTGAGAACGGGTCTCCCCTAAAAGGAAGGTATCAAGAAAAGAGGGAAAGGTTTTTTTGGCTTTTGTTCAGTTTAAAACTGCTGGGGACCTCAGTATTGGTGCTTTTGATTTGTCTGTAAATTTCTCTGTTGGGAAAATTCTTTCAATCCATGTGTTATCTCCAGGACTAGGAGCCAGGCTCTACAAAGCAAGGCGTAAGACCTAAATTGACCCTTCTGCCTCCTCACACTGACTTGGATCCCTACTCTCACCTATTTCTTATGTCTCTGCCTAATAAAACTCTCTTGCTCCCATTTTCTTTCCACCCACCTCTCCCAGTCTCTTTTTGCGGTTTCTCACTCTCCGGGAAGCACACAAAGTCTCTTGAAGAAAATTTCTCCAGCCCCCTCATTCAGCTGTTCCAAGAGGGTAGACCTGGGAATTTAGTTCCCTCTGATTATTTGATGTTTGAACTTAGGCTCTTTACCAGGCTAGTCATCGGGAGATTATGTACCTTTTGCTGTTGCTCTCTCCCAGGACGCTCGCCTCCTCGATAAGTAGCCGAGCTGACCCTTATGCCTTGCCTCACTAAGGTGGAAGCAAATCAAACACGGTCGCTGCTAATAAACCTTTTCTCTAAGCCACTTTTTACAGAACACATTGGAAACACACTTTTAGAGCAGGTGAGAGAGGATCAGAACCTTCGTGTTAAGGTAGTGGGAGCGGTAAATTAGACATAAAAGAGGCTCGTAGCAGATGCACCCGGGGCGAGGGGAAGAGGATCGCGTAAGTAAATGTAGAAAGGTAGGTAATAGGCAATGGTTAAAGCGAACTACAGAAGTAAATAGAAAGTAGGAGACATAAGGCAGAAAGGCATTGGAAATGTTCTAGATTGCAGAAAGGGGAACCCGTGGTGTAGAATTACTCAAAATAAATTTCGAATCCCTTGGTGAGAATCTTTAGAGCTCAAACTTCTACATCATCTAGGGGAAGAGGGAGACGACTGGAAAAAATATAATTATCAAAGGTATTAGAAGGGAAACCATCCAAGCTGGTCCAGTCTCTCCAAATCATTACGTTATAGTCAGGAGAGAAAGATGCTATACGTTGAAGTTGACAATTGCAGTTAACATACTGGTAGTGGGATTATTTTTTTTTATACGTAAGTACTTTAAGAATGACAAGTTTTTAATATAAATTTTCATATAGTAAAATTTGTCATTTCTTATTGAACGGAAATTAAGCATCCCACTGAATTAAGCATAAGGCCCAAGAAGTGAACTTCTTTTTAAAAATTTCTTTGTAAATGGCTGAAGCAAATTAGTATATTCTGAAAAGATAGGTGTCCTGGTCAGGTTTTGGTACGAATACTATCTAGGCAGATTAAAAATCCAGAAGACTTTAATGTCCCACTATTATTTCTAGTTTTGGAACTTTTCATGATATTTTGACTGTAAACCATTAAGGATTTAAACATATAAAAAGAGCCACGGAATCTATAGATGAGTTCCAATAAGAGTTCTTTTTTTTGTTGTTTTTGTTTTGAGCAGTTGGTGATTTATTATTATTGTTGTTGTTGTTGTTATTGTTGTTGTTGTTGTTGTTGTTGTTAAAGGGAACATTTCTTCTAGGTCTGCTTCTTACTAGACGGATCATCTTGAGAAAGTCAACTTAAGGTCTTAGTCTCAAACTCCTCTCCTATAAAATGGGAATAACTATATACCAAATTTGACTGCCGACCTCATAGAGTTGTTAGGAGGACCAAATGACAATCCAGTATTTGGAAGCACTTTGTAAATTGCAAAGTATTTCAAATGTAAAGTACTATTATCATTGTGACTAAGAAGAAATAGTCCGCTAGCCAGGTTCAAAAAGACATACTCAATCTTGTTTTCAGTTTAAGTAACATCCTCCACAATCTACGAAAACATCAATATTCTAACTCAGTATTAGCCAAGAGTGTGTATCATGACCTTTACAATTTCTATGTTAATGCAGAAGTATCCAAAAAGTTAAGAAGTTTGGCTTCATTTCTGTATACATACGCATACACAAGAACACGGACACACACACAAGCACGCAGGCATGACATTTTCATCTTCCTTTCACCGAATCTTTCTGATTTAAGTCAAAGCACTTCCTCCGAACATTTGAACCTGAACACAATGTTTGTTAAAAATCAGTTACAAACAACAGCAGTTTGATGGGAAACAACTTCCGAGTGGCTGAGTTCCGCATGGTTGGCTTGTACCAGGTGAAGATTTTACCTATAGAACTATTATAGCCAAATGCAGCTGGCCCTGCTACAGTTTTAGTATTGTGCTTTAGTATTGTAATTAAAGACTACTCACAGAAGCTGGGTCCCACTTACCTCCGACCTGGTGGTTCTTTCTGGCAGCAGGTTCTACGTAGAGAAGACAGTCATTTGGTGGGGGCACTGAACTTCTTAAGGCAAAGCTGGTGATGCCACCAGCTTCTGAATCCGAACACTTCTCAGGTAATGATTTTCTGTGGGAAGGATATTGAACCTTATCAGCCCTCCCAGGCACTGAATTTGAGTGGTCTCAACAGGCCTACCTTTCTTTCGCTATGACGGAGTTTGTAAAGGTGGCTCTTTATGCCAAAGTTACGACACCATTAGAGATTATATAATTCTATATACTTTTCTTTTATTTCCTCAGCCAGCACTTTCGAACTCATGTGTTAACTGCAATTATATGATATTCGCCTAAAAAGGCACTGATTTAATGCTAATCTACTATGTGTTTTTGACCCAACGTAATTGTTCCCTTCTCTTCCCGGTCCCCATCCCCCATAATCTGGTTTAATGTTTTAATTTGACTATTCAGTATATATTTAATCCTGATTTTTGCCTTCTCTTTGAGTTACAATTGGGCAGAAGTTAAGTATTCATTTCTATTGTTATTTAGTAATCCAGGTGCTGAGCACGCCTAAAAGAGGGAACGGAAGGAGTTTCCAGGATTACTCTGTCTGTTACCATCTACAGCCAATCTGAAAGTCGTTTTCTTTGAGGCCCGCCTCCTTGGAGGTGGGTCACTGGTGATTGATAGGCAGAGACGCCCAGCCCAACTCAGCCCATCCCACTTTACTGCTTAGATTGAAATGTAGAACTCATACCTCTTTCATCGGGGCACCGACTTCCTTTTATTCCTTTCCCTCTTTAAGTTCTTGTTGTCTGCTCCTGGGGTCAACAGGAGGGACCCGTGGCCTGAGATAGAGGAGAGAGTAAAGCACTGAGGAGGTAGTGAAAGTTAGTTGTTGAGAGTCTAGAGCGGCTGCTCATTGGTGTCCTGCTCAAAGTAATGGGTAAGTAAGTGGCTGCGTGCAGTATCGGGGAAATTTTCTGTACTGTCAGAATGGATGGGAGGATAAGTGGGGGATGAGACAGAGAGAGACAGAGAGAGAGAGGGAGAGAGAGAGAATCATAAGTTCATAAATTGTGACTGGGGAGTCACAACTTGCTTATTGACTTTGCTCGTGTTTCTACAAGTTGTAACAATGAGTTAAAGGTCAGTAGTACAGAGAGATCTAATGGCTGGCTGGGTGATTATTAAAGCCATTAGAGTAAAGAAACTTTTACATCATGGATCACTAGAGTACCGGTGGTGGCATTTTATTAGACAGGCACACACAACATATTTGGTTTCCCCTCGAATCTGTCTATAGAACTGGCTGGGCAGACTATCAAGCTGAGCATAACCTGTGGAAACATAGGGAGTTTTTGAATCCGATGTACTAATTTAAATCCCAAGAACTGTGTCCAATTTCCTTTAGTCAGTTTTGAGAATTCCAGTGGTCCGACTGACTCTTATTTTTAAATTGCTTGCGTCTAGAGCAATTGGCGAGCTTGGACAGCGGGAGGAGGGTGGGGGATGAAGCAACCAGACAGCTAATTTCAGTGAGGCTTCCGAACCGTGCGATTTGGGGGAAATTCACTTAGATTTGGGACTTGGAGTAGGATGGAGTGTCAGTTGATAGACCCGTAGGGGCTGTAGAGAAACCATCCCAGGGCTCCTTCCCCCTCCCCTCCCCCCAGAGCTTCAGGAAGGAGGAAGACTGGTGCTCTGACAGTTGTCACAATACTCTGTGTGTATGTGTGTGTGTGTGTGATTGTGTGCACGCGCGAGCGCGCGCATTGTTTTCGTGTATGTTCTTTTGCAGAGCCAGCCTTCGGGGAGGTCAACCAGCTGGGAGGGGTATTCGTGAACGGAAGGCCTCTACCCAACGCCATCAGACTCCGCATCGTGGAACTGGCCCAATTGGGCATCCGACCCTGTGACATCAGCCGACAGTTAAGGGTATCCCATGGCTGTGTCAGTAAGATACTGGCGCGCTACAATGAGACGGGCTCCATCTTACCTGGGGCGATTGGGGGAAGCAAACCCCGGGTCACTACCCCCACTGTGGTGAAACATATCCGGACCTACAAACAGAGGGACCCAGGAATCTTTGCCTGGGAAATCCGTGATCGTTTGCTAGCAGACGGTGTGTGTGATAAGTACAACGTGCCTTCGGTCAGTTCCATCAGCCGAATCCTACGCAACAAGATTGGGAACTTGTCTCAGCAGAGCCAGTACGACTCTTACAAACAGCATCAGCCACCGCCGCAACCCGCCTTGCCTTATAACCACATATACTCCTATCCGAGTCCCATTACTGCAGCTGCAGCCAAAGTACCCACTCCTCCCGGAGTTCCCGGAATTCCCAGCAATATGGCCATGCCTCGAACCTGGCCCTCTTCGCACTCTGTCACGGATATCCTGGGAATCCGCTCCATCACAGACCAAGGTAAGTTCAGGCCACTGTGAGGTTGGGGGCTGAGAGGGAGGGAATGGTGGCAGCGATGCTCATTTTTTCCTTGTCCATCCTCACCTCGCCACACACTCCTCTTCAAGACTTTCAAACCTCTTTATTATTCTCCACTTGGAGAACTACTTGTTTACAGATTGTTTCCTGACCCTTCTAACGGGAAGACATTTTTATTGGGAAGTATAGCGAGTCCTCTATCCCTCTGCCCTAGGAATTGCAATTGACTAATTAAAAAAAAAAAAAAGTTTTTGCTTCACCTCTAGCTACTAGCCTCGGAAGCCAGACTCCTTACCAACCAAACTTGTGTTTCACATGCTCCTTTTCTTTTTCCTTCTTTCTCCCTTGCTTCAGGATATGTTCTAGATTTTGCTCTCTAAAATTTGGTTCAAATTACTAATCCAAGGCAGTATAACTTCAGGTTTAAATAGCAGTGGAGAAGAGAAAAGGATCCAGCTAACTATTCCAAAGCCAAATATAGTCTACTCAGCTCCCAGATCCGGACTCATGGAGCTGGGGCTTTGCATTGAAATTGCAGGGTTCCCCTTCTCGGATTCTCGCAATCAGGCCAAATTTGCTCAGACAGGAAGTTCAAATGTCACCTAATTGGTTTCATTCTTACGCTTCACTTTGTGAAACAGTGAGTGAGCCAAAAAGAAAAAAACATCGGTTACTTTGTGTGGCTCTCCTTCCAGGGACTAATTTTCTGCTTTATTACTGTTCTTTCCTCCGATCTACCTTTCATTTCGGGAGGGGTGGAAGAGAAACAAAGTAGGAGGGAGATAATGTCAATTTTTGTTGATAGCTGTTTCTCTTTACCTAAAATCTGCACATTCTTATTAATAACTCTTTTAGCCATTAATTTTGTCTAAAGTGAAATAAACGACGATTCCTTATACTCAGTGCCTTCTCTTTCTTTTTTCATCCCTTCGTACTTTTTGCCCTCTGCTTGTCTTTTATCTCAGCTTCCTCTACACCTCTGGTTCTGCAGAGTAGCTGTGTTTTGATTTTGCACTTTTAGCCGCCGAAGGATCGTTCCCCTTTCTCTCCTTTTCCCTTTCTATTCCCTGCCCTGGCCCCCAACACCAACCCCAACCCCAACACACAAGTTCTTCCTCCCACGACATTTTTCTGCATTGATAGATCAGGGAGAGGTTGGTTTTGTTTTTTTTTTTTCGGCTAGGCAGATTGACTCCCCAAGGTCCAAGGCGATCAGTATTTCCGTAGGCGAAGTTTGTTTTCTTTTACTAAGCTGTTAAAACACCGTCAAGTCAAAATGCCGAAGAGGCAGATCTCAAATGATAGCTGAGGACCGAAGAGTGTAAGCCTAACTTGTCTAACCGCTCTCTATGGGTATGAAAAGAACAGAGGGGCAATTCCATTTTGGGAGGGGTAGATACCTTCAGTTATTTCCTCCTTTATTAATACCACATTGGCATAGTTGCCTCTTTCAGTAACCAAACAAAAGTGCTGGCTTTTCATTCCCTTGTTGTCGATAATAGCATTTAAAAGACTCTTCTAAAAGCATAATTCTTACCCTCATCAGAGCCAGCCAGGTTAGGGTGAACAGAACACTGGAAGCTGCATTCTGAGGGTTGTTTGCCCTTGATTTATAGGATAAACTGACCTCGATGACATTTAAAGGAAGCTCCTATTCATGGGAAAGTGTGAGATCTGCAGGAATGGGGGCTTTCTGAGAGATCTCAATTTCTTAAGACATCTGCTGACTGGTGCCCATCGACTGCATTTTGCTACCGAAGACGGAAAGATATAGACAGCTCTGAGTTGGAACATAGCCTCAGTCCAAATGGGAACACGACTTAATTCATTTATGGGGAAAATTCATTCAACAGGGGTAGACAGTTTAATGTTGAAAAGAAAACTGTTCTCCCACAAGAATCACAGTTAGACTAAGTGTCACTTGGCAGTTTCTCCGATTAGTGAGTGAGGAGGAAAAAGTCTTCGTTGTGATTTTTTTTAAATGTTCTAGGATTGAGAATCTTGCTTGTGAAAAATCAATATTCCACCTAATCGATGCTCCTCAGCATTCCCTCCTTGTTACACACACACACACACACACACACACACACACATATACAATGTGTGCATATGGAGTAAAAAAAGAAGAAAACCCGAACTCTTCAATCCTTATCACTTCAAATCAAAATGTTGCAGAGTGTGCATGTCTTTAACTTTCTCTCTTTTAAAAGAAGTATACTAATAGAAAAGTGCTGACGAATGAATAAGCATAGCTTTAGGCTTCTAGAATTGTTTTGTCTTACATTTGTGTAAGTCAGCTGAAAACCAAGAGGAACCTTTCTCTCCTCTTCCTAAAATTTCGAATTATTGAACTTGCTTTTATTACTATTCTCTTTCTCTTCCTTGCATGACCTCTCTTTCTCTAACCCTTTCTGTAAAACCCAGCATTTTAGGGTGGTAGACAACTTATTTATTTTCACAGTCCCTCATTTTCTCATAAATACTTCTACTGTTCACATCTGAAACCTTACTAGTACACATATCCCGACATTAGCCTCCATCTGTATAACTGTAACTGTATTAGACAATCCAGATCAGGAGTACACTTAAGAGAAGTGGACACTCGTGTAATCAATTCTAAATATGTATAAGTCATATTATTTGTTTATATGCTTTCAAAGGACTTTGAAAGTATTTATTTATGTCCATAGTTAAGTTTTTCATGTGCCCTTTGGCAAGTCTAATGAGACACCCCCTTATCAGGAATAATGTTTTATTTTTTTAAATTCATAATTGAAGGAAATGTTAAATTTCAATTCTAGATTAGTGAAAATAAGGATTTTTTCAGGAATTTGCCCCCCCCCAAATGTACATGGACCCCAGTTTACTCCTGAATTCCATAGATTTACACAATAGATGTGAAATTCAGAGGGATATCTGTAAACAAAAATACATTTACACTAAGCCTGAGATGTGGGCAGTCTTTTTATCTTCAGCCCCAGACTTCTTGATCTTGGTCAGCCTCCTATGGACTTTGGGTTTAAGATGAAGAGGGAGGGCAGGCTTTGCCTCTTGCCTCTTCTTTTTCTTTCCCTGATGCGGGAAAACACGCTTTCTCAAGTTTCCTCCTCCAGTTTCTTCACTAAAGTCAGGCGGAAAAATGAAAGTCTTTTTTTCTTTTTTAAAAGCAAAAATCTTGCTGGAAGAGTTAAGGAAAAGGGCCACTTGAAACCTATTTAGAATGGAGCCTAAGACCAAGAGAGATGGCTTGGCCCAGTGTTGAGGAGGGGTAGGGGAAGACAAGGGAGGAATCTGACTGAATTCTGCGGACTCGGGATTTAGAGGCATCACTTAGCTCCTTTCTGGGAATTCTAGGCCAGGGGGAGGAGAGTTTAGATGCACCCAGAAATCACAGTCATCCTTGTGCAGCCCCAGCCAGGCTCCAGCCTGCCTAACTTCTGCCTTTCTCCTGTACTTCCACCGCAGTGAGCGACAGCTCCCCCTACCACAGTCCAAAGGTGGAAGAGTGGAGCAGTTTGGGCCGAAACAACTTCCCCACCCCTGCCCCGCACCCGGTCAACGGGCTGGAGAAAGGGTCTTTGGAACAGGAGGCCAAATATGGACAGGTAAGGAAAGACTGAGGGACAAGGGGCACTCCTGAAGCTCAACTTTTAGAAAGCGTCCAGATCCCCTCATATACGTCTCTTCCGAAAGGTGGTAGTACTGGCACATTCGGAGACTGACTAACCAGAGGTTCATAGTGTGTATTTTTTAAGCCCTGTAGTACAGTGAAAAGTCAGGATTCAGTTTGAATCCTGACTCATTATTTGTGTGACTTTAGCAAGTTACTTTGTCTTAGCTTCCCCATCTGCAAAATGAGGGGATTGCACTAGATAAGTATAATTATAACAATTGACAAGTTTTGCCATGTTCTTTATATATTTTTAATCCTCAAAAGGTACTGTTATCTCCATTTTACAGGCCAGGAAATTGAAACTAGGAGAGATTAATTAAGTGACTTGCTGCCAGGTGATCTCTAAAGTTCCTCCCAACTCTGAATCCTATGATTTTATGACTTTTTGGATGGGGAATATTCTGGTTCTAGTCACTGTCAGGATGGTATACCAAGTTGTTAGAATGTTAAGAGCCAGGACCTCCTGTTCTGTTTTTCCAAGGAGCAGAGTCAGAGAACTGCCTAAACTCAAAGTTCCCTTTCTCTATTTTCACCTACTTTGAACCTCTCTAGTTCCCCAAAATTCATGTCCATTAGCCTAAAGTGGGTAATCACAAATGGATCCCTAACTCAGAAGAAATATATTCTCCATATGACTCACCTCTGCTAGGATGGAAGCCCCAAGAGCCACAGCATTGACTGAATAGTCTTGAGGTTTCCTGCTGCCAGAGCCAGAGGAGATCCTTTTGCCTACAAAGCACAAATCTCCTCAACCCTCACCCTCACTCCTAAACCTTACCCTCAGGAGGTGCCGAGCCTCCGTGCAAAAACAGAAGAAATGACAGGGCCAGACTTATGCTTTGAGAATTTCAGGATGGCATTGGATAAAGGCAGGAAGCCAACTGTCAGATCTGGAGCCCAGCATCCAGCATTCCCTAGTTGTCAGTCCTGAATTCAGGGGAGAGGAGGAGGCTGGGATGGAGGATGACACAAGTAGCTCATTCCTGGGGTAGGGAAAAATGTTTGAGTCTTAACCAGCAACCCCTTACACTCATCCCCAGCCAGATTCAGGGTAGATGTTTCTGGTGGCTCAGAAGTGCCCAAAATGGAAAGAAAAGAAAGGTATAGAGAAATCTATAATTCTAATTCCAAATTCATCTGGAGTTCTCTTTCCCAACTTGTTTTCCCATTGGCAGTTCTGCAGAAATCTTTAAATAGAGGTTTCTGATTAATGCCTGCCGTGTGAGTCAAGACAACCAGTCTGCGGGTATTTTCTGGCTTAGGGATTATGCACTTTATTCTTAATTTTAAACACTTCCTGGAATTACTGTGGCCATCACAAACCAAAACCTGCCACACAGGGAAGTGTAGCAACTAGATAAACTTAATAAAATTAGCATTTGCCGATTAAAGGTCAAATCATAATCTTCCAAAAGAAAACCTCAAATTGAACTGAATAGTGGTGGACTGTTTAATTTCTGTTTCTTTCCCTCCCTCAAAAGGAGGTATTAAGGCACTCATTTTTTCAAAGAAAACCGACCAACCACAACAACAACAACTACAACAAAACCCAAGCCAAATAAAGATTACCACCCTAGAGTTTTAAATCTAAATTCAACAGCTAAGTACATACTCAGCACTTAAGTACATACTCAGGCTTGTAAGTTACAAATATACTCAAATGTTTCCATATTACCCTTATCCCAAACATACCTCAAGTCAGAATTTTGAAAACTCCAAATACCTACCTTTCCCTGAGGGCCTTTATTTTTGAGTTTTAAAGATTTCTCTTTCCTGAAAAAAAAAAGATTACTAATATAAATTGAGCTTTTTGCTTATGTTAAGCTCTTGGAAACCCCAGATGACTCTCCCTTTTACAAAAACTTTCTTTCCCCCACTTTAATAACTTAAATAAAGAAGAAAAAATTACACACATTATCTCATTGCATTCTCCCTACAACACAATGAGTTAAGCAAGGGCCTGAATATCAAGAGTTTGAGAATTGTTAAAAATAATACCACTGTTAAGTAGTCCAGTGAAGACTAGAAGATTTTGCTTTTAATCTCTCTGGCCAGAATCAGAATATTTATTTTCCCTCTTCGGTGATACGTAACCCCCATCAAAACATTTATTAACAAGGAAAGAGTTTTCTCTCTGTAGATTCTATTCCTGCTAAAAGTAATATTGGTAAGCAAAAATTATGAAGAGGGCTTTGATGTTATCTTTCTGAACAAGCAGGCTACACACATACACATATTATTAATGCTGAATTTTTAGCAATTGAATTCACTTTTATGAATTCAAGAGCATAGCATATTATGTTCTTGAGCTCAATCTTCAGTTCTCCGAGGACTTTGATGGACATTATTATACATCCTCTGAATAGAATGAAGAAATACACAGATGGAAAGTATTTTAATGTTCTCTTTGGTTGTCTCTTTATAACTGATGAAATCAGTTGCTATATAGGTAATTTCTCAATGCAAAAAAAAGAGACCTTGAGTCTCTTTTCCTATCATTTAACCAAATTGTAAATCTTAAAAAAAGTTTAAATAAATTTTATTCATATGTAAGGTACATAAATTTCATAAAGCTAAATCAATAAAAAGTATAAAAGTTTGAACACTGAATTATTTGCTTCAAGATGCATTCCGAACCTTTAATAAAATTGCTTACATTTGACAGATTGAATATTCAGATTCAGTAAATCTCAGAATTGAACCAGACACAGAACTGAAAGAAACAGCAAGTCAAATAATAAGTGATGTATGTACTCAGGAGGAGAAAACTAAAGCTGAAAACTGATTTTTTTTCCACCCCAAAGAAAAGCTGGTATATATCAAAATAACCAATGAATATTCTTGTTTGCATTCTAATTTTGTACTGCTAAGGAACTATATACTACATTATTATATTTAGACAATTAAAAATAATGCAAATGTTTAAGTAATGCAAAAGATGTCTAACCACTTTCAAGTCTTTGAGTGCATTGTTAATTTTCTAAGGATATGAGTACTTAAAATGTGCTGGGCATTTTAATATTAACTTAAGCTTAATTTAAATATTAAACAATATATCATTTTAACTTTCACAAAACACTTTACATACTTTATTTCATTTGAGCCTCAATGTAACCCTTTGTTGCAAGGTATTATTTTGGGCCTTTTACAGATAAGAGAACTTGCACTTATAAAGGTTAAATGATTAGCTGATGGTCACACTGTAAGTATCAGAGGCAGGATTTGAACTCAGCTTTTCCTGACTCCCAAGTTCAGGAGGAAATCCACTATCACCAACATGATTTTGTAGATCAAAAAGAATCCTATATGGATTTGGAGATTCAAACACCTTTTGATTCTGGACATGTAATGTAATTCCTGACTAAAAATTCATGCATACGTATACACAGGCTCATATGTGTGCATATATCTTTTCATTGTCCCAAAAAGCACAACTTTATTAATATTACTTTTGAAGATGTCATTAACATTTTTGATCTAAAATGCAAAACTTTTGGTAATACGTTTGATCTCCAAGTGTGCAATGCTTTGGGGTTGCACGGCAAAAAAGGTCACAATTCTTAACATTTAAACAATTTGTTACTCTTAAAGGACATTTATGAACACAATAGATATCATTATTTAACTTCCTCATACTGTGCAGTATAAGTGCATATTTCACATTCTCTCTCTCATTTTATAAATGAGGAAATGTAACCTTGCAGGGCCTGAGTCACTTATTCGAAGTTAGACATCAGAACAAGGGGAAAATCCAGATTCTTGAGGCTCAAGTCATAAAACTCCACCAAAGTAACTTTCAAATTATAGTAAGTGGTGGGGGAGAAGAGAGGTGGTATGGGAAAGTTTCAAAGAGGCAAATTCAGATTTGATGTCAGGAAAAACTTCCTAACAATTAGAGCTATCAAAAATGGAATGGTCTGTCTTAAGAAATGAAGGTCTTTAAGTAGATACTAGATGATGACTCACTGGTATATTATAGTGTGGAGATTCCTTTTGTGTTTGCATTGGACTAGATGGCCACTGAGATCTCTTCCAACTCTCAAATTCTATGATTCTATATGAGACTACAACAACAAAAAGCATAGATTTGATTGGGTCCTGTATGCTGGTGTTTTTGCTTTCCAATTTAAGCTCCAAAGAATGTCTGCTGAATTCCTCATAATTAGAGCCTTATGCACATTTCAGCTACACATTCACGTGTGAGGGAAAGCTCAGCATAATGTTTTCAAGTGTTTTTAACATTGCTGCACTATATGATTGGCATTTTATGGTACCTTTTAGTAGTCCATATCTCCTACCACCTCAGACAAATTGAAATGTCTTGCACCTAAATACTAATAAATTCAGATTACTTTTATCCACAGATAAAAATTGAGACATTATCATTAAGTTTAGAAAAGAAAAACACCTACTCTGCTTGTTGCTCTATGAAGCAATTCTTTCTTCTATTCTTTTGTGGCTAGTTCCTTTCCAACTTTGGTATTGGGAACACATAACCCTTGGTGACCATTGTAATATAATACAAAAGATTTCACAAGGAACAATGGGAATTTAGCTCTTTTATACCCTTTTACATATTATTTAATGAATTGGTAGCTTGTATTAGTTTAAATTACTTTGTAAATTATTTGCAGACATTCCAAAGTTTCCCAGAAAAATTTTTAAGAAGTTATTTATTTACTGTCTAACTGAAAAGAAAACTAAAAGTTAGGTTTTCTGGCTTTGGGTCACAGGTATTATCTTCATTTTAGGATAAAATAAAACTTCTTCTTTGGAATTTGTGATGATCTCAATTATGAAGGTATTAGACTGGTTGATTTTAACCAAGAATATTAACAAGCAAATCTTTGATGATGAAATATGTCAAATACAATGCTTTCATAAAACTTCATATTTTTAAAAGGTGGTGTCAATTTTTACATTATTTTAAAG